ATGATCTTGGGTACTCACTTCTATTTTTGACAGGAAATCTTGAATTATGATTCAATAAAATCTATCATAGTGGTGAAGTCAACCCAATTTGCTTCAGTTCACCATAGCTGACAAGTGTCTACTTTGGCTTCGGACCAGAGTATTCAGCGTGCTCAATTACATTTATTTTGACAAGAATTAGCTGGCTTAGACGGCTTTTTCATGATTTTCAAAAATACGCTTATTAATCCCTATTCAAATTCAGTTTTTTACAATTTTAACCCTGTTTGGCTATTTTTTCAGGAACCAAACCATCACCATATTATTCAGCATGCTCGATTACATTGATTATGTCAAAATTTAGCTGGCTTAGACGGTATCTTCGTTATGTCTAAAAGGTCACTAATACTATGTGATATTTAGATATTTTGGCCGATATCTCAAAAACTATGCATGATATAAAAAAATAGATTTGATTTATGAAATTGGCATTGAATTTTGAGTGTGAAAAGTACCATTGCAAAAAAAATCGAGAACAGGCGATTTTGCAGGTCCTCCTTAAAGGCGAAAGATATAAATATATTGCAATTGGAATCATGTTTCATTAACTAAAGAGCAACAAAGTTACAAGAAGCAGAAAAAAGTCAATGATGGTGTAAAGGCTGAAAAGAGATGGTAAAGATGATAGAAGATGATAGTCGATGAAGAAAGAATGGAACAGAAAAAAGAGTGAAGATGTCGATGAGAAGAAGAAGATGATGAAAATGATGAGGAAAGTGAAAAAAGAGACTTTGATATCCGTTCATGTTGAGAATAGTAACGGAAATGAGAATAATCAATGGACCAATAGTTAATCTCTTTTTTTCTCAATTCACTTCCAAATTTATTCAACAAAATCAACCAACCATTTTGAGCTCTTATTGAGCTCTTTTAAGCTTCGTCAGAATTTAAAATTTGATTTTTCTCCTTTTCTCCTCTTCTTTCATTCAATTCTTTCTTAAACAAAAATCAAATGTAAACTTTACTGAAAACAACATCCTTGATAATAATATTTATCATTAGAAAGAGAAAAGGCGAAATCTTTACTCCAAACAGCAACATTTGAATGACTATAATATTCTGATAATGATAATAATAACAAAAAGTAAATAACATTTTCTCTGGCAGAACTTTGAATAAATCCCATCTTTTGCTTTCATCATCATTATCATCCATATCTGTCTTCCTACATGAATACCTTTGTATAATAACACTCGAGCAAAACTCTTTTTTTATTACTTTAATAGGTATTCAGTTAACAATGTTTAACGAAAAATGGTTAAAAACTATTATTATTGTTGCCAGTATTTAATGATAACATTCTTGTTGGTTGAATGTTTAAATGCTGATAGAAATGGCCATTTCTTGAGATAACAATTTTCTAGTTGGTTGAAAATGATAACCCAAACAATGTTAAATGGCGTTTCAGCGCATTTCACCATTCGCTAGTTGATATTATTAGTTGAACACAAAGGCATCAACTTTGCAATTTAAAAATGTGTTTCAGGGTTTTAGCGTTTCTCTTCACTTCTTTGAATAATATTTGTGAATTAATTATTTTCACTTGGATAAATAATTGTTTCCAGTTGAACATTTCATTTGACATTTTACGTTTTGCGATCAAATCTTTCATTTCTTCCGGTTTTCTTGTTTTCTGATTTCATGATATCATTGAATATAAAAGTTGGGAGAAAAGGTTTTTTTATTAAATTATCTTCATTTTATATTCATTTAGTTACCTTTCAATGAATTCAGTGTCTTTTGTTTCACTTTTGTTTTGGTTAGTTTCCAATGAAAAGGACAGTTTTCCCTGTTTCCTCTTTTTTTTCTTCCTCATGTTTTTCAACCTTTTTTTGGATTCTGAATTTTGCTTTTTTTCTTCTCTTGAAACTTTTTTCACTTTTAAGACTTTTTTCTTTCGCTTCTCTTTCAAGATTCAACTGGCAATTTTGATGCTTTAGTTGAAATTC